TGATTCTCCCTTGTTTTCTTTTACTCCTAAAGTTTTTAGATGTGTTTGTTATATCCACAATCTTGGTCATGGTTTTGATAAACTAGACTCCCGTGCCACAAAGTGTGTATTTCTTGGATACTCTCATTCTCATAAAGGTTATCGTTGCTATAGTCCTGTTTCTCAATGGTATTTTATTAGCGCAGATGTAACTTTTTGTGAGTCTATCCTATATTTTTCAAATACTGATTCACTTCTTGATATCACTCCTGAGTCGCCTCTTCCTACGGTTCTTCTTCCCTCATTTTCTCTTCAACCTAGATCTCCTTTGCCTGCCCTGTTACAGGTGTACACTCGAAGACCAAAGCCGTCTGCTGTCATGCCTCCTCTGTTGTCTTCAGAGTCTTTGGATCCAACACCATCCGTTGTGTCTGATTCCTTGCCTATTGCACTTCATAAAGGTACTCACTTGTGTGTTACTAATCATCCTATTGCTCATTATGTCTCTTATAATTCTTTATCGTCATCCTTCTCGTGTTTTTCATCTCAGTTGTGTACTATATTTGTTCTTAAAACTGTGCAGGCTACTTTGTCTGATTTGGGCTGGAGGAAAGCAATGCAAGATGAAATGGATGCTTTATATCAGAATGGCACGTGGATTCTTGTTCCATTACCTCCAGGTGCCAAACCTGTTGGTTATCGCTGGGTATATACAGTGAAATATCTTCCAAATAGGTCCGTTAAGCGTTTAAAAGCACGTCTTGTTGCCAAAGGTTATACCCAAACTTATGCTATTGACTATGATGAGACGTTTGCCCCTGTTGCTAAAAAATTTTCTATTCGTATTTTGATTTCTCTTACTGCTAATAAACATTGGCCTCTGTTTCAGTTAGACGTTAAAAATGCCTTTTTGCATGGTGACTTAGCATAAAAGGTTTATATGGAGCAACCACCTAGGTTTGTTGCTCAGGGGGAGTATCTTCACACTGTTTTTTGCCTTAAAAAGGCCCTGTATAGATTGAAACAATCTATACGGGCTTGGTTTGGAAAATTCTATGAGGCGGTATTAAAATTTGGTCTAAACAGATGTCAGATCGACCATTCAGTATTTCACCAGCGCACTAAAGCTGGCTTCATATTTCTTGTGGTGTTTGTAGATGATATTGTGATCACAGGTGATGATTCTAAATGCATTGCTAAGTTGAAGTTGTTTCTGCAATATCGATTCCACACTAAAGACTTGGGTAAACTTAGGTATTTCTTGGGTATTGAAGTTGCTAGATCCAAGAAGGGTATAAGTTTGTCCCAACGAAAATATGTGTTGGACTTATTAGAAGAAACAGGTATGGGGTGGTCATCCGGTTGATGCTCCTATGGATTCAAATACAAAACTTGTGTTTGATGAGGGTGATCGATTTAATGACCCGGGCAGATTTCGTCGCCTTGTTGGGAAATTAATTTATCTCACTATCACTCGTCCTGATATTTCATATGCAGTTAGTGTTGTAAGTCAGTTCATGGGAGCCCCTAGAATGCCACATTGGATTGTTGTTCTTCAGATTATCCGATATCTCAAGCAAGCTCCAGGTTTTGGGTTACCATATAAATCAAATGGTAATCTCAGGGTGGAAGGTTTTGCAGATGCTGACTGGGCTGGTTCTCCTTCGGATAAGAGATCTACTACAGGCTACTGCACATTTGTAGGAGGAAATCTTGTTACATGGCGAAGTAAAAAGCAAACGGTGGTAGATCGATCTAGTACTGAATCTGAGTATAGGGCAATGGCCCATACCACTAGTGAGTTGATATGGATACAACATTTTCTAAAAGAACTTGGGTTGACAGTTGAAGCTTCTACTCCATTGTTCTGTGATAATCAAGCAGCAGTTCACATTGCATCAAATCCTGTGTTTCATGAAAGGACCAAACATATTGAAGTTGATTGTCACTTCATTCGAGAAAAAATATTACGTAGGAGCATCTCTACTCCATTCGTGAAGTCTGAAGATCAATTAGTTGATATATTTACCAAAAGTATTGGGTCATAACCGGTTAAGAACTATATGTTCCAAGCTGGGATTATTTGATATATATTCTCCAGATTGAGGGGGAGTGTTAGAATGTTATATATATATATATATATATATATATATATATATATATATTGGGTCATTATGTAATTACATATAGTTGGTAGGGCCCTTGTGTTTTTAAGTATGTCTTGTATCCTTTATATAAACCTACATAGGCTTATTAGGGTTTGTGTGAAATATACAAGAAACATGTCTCTCTCTCTCCCTCATGATTTTGAACATCAATAATTTGATCTTTTAAATACAAGGAACAGAATGCAAAACATCTCTTCAGATGCGAAGGAAGATAATCATAACTTAACCTCAGTATTGGTAAAATAACATCTTCTTCTTCGGCTATTTTTGACAAATCATTGTTTTTAAAAAGCAACCACTCATCCATTGTATCTTAAGTGTATAGTAGGCTTCCTACAGCCTTTATGGCAAGAGGGACTCCTTTACACTTCTGAACAATTTCCTTGCCGATTGTTACTTGAAGTGTATTCTCCGACTCTTTCCCTTGTTTAAATGTCATTTTTTCAATTAAAGATCAGGACTCCTCAGTCCTCAGACAGGCCTTTTAAAATATATGGTGAATTTGACCATGTAACATTTGCAATCAACTCAGAACGAGCAGTTACTAAAATCTTACTTCCTCTCGTACCACCCATCAGCAAACCTATCATTTGTAACCATTTGTCACGATTCTCGTTCCACACATCATCCAATAGAAGCAAAAATTTCTTTTCACCAATTTTTTCTTGCAATTTAGCCATTAAAAGATTTTCAGGTATTTTGTCCCCTAACATCTTTTCTGCAATGAGCTTCGCATCAAAGATGTTAGAAACACAAACCCACCTCTTAAGATCAAAATGCTTATTGACCCTCTTGTCATTATATACTAATTGTGCAAGTGTGGTCTTTCCCAGTCCCCCAATTCCAACTATTGCAACAACTGACACATTCTGATCTTGAACGTTGGTTTTCAATCAAAGTTGTACAATTGTCATTTTATCACCGTCCCTCCCAATAACACTTTCTGCACGAACAAAAGAGTAGGTCTCCTCTCTCTTAACATTCTCAAGTCGCATCTGATTTATAGGCCGTTCATTGAGGTGGAACTTTTTCTTTCGGCAATTGCATCTAGTCTCTCCCTAAAGGCCTTAATCTCATGAGCCAAGTTAATACTGAAAGGAGGCTTGTTTGAGCTAGAGAAAAAATGGCGTACCTTCTTTAGCCTTGTGTTGTGAGTCATAGCCTGACGGCGGAGAAGTTGGGTGGAGAAGTCATCAGCATCATGAAATGCATCATTGAGTTTATCGAGCCAGTCTTCAACCACGTGGTTTGTGAGTTGCTGCTCCTCTGCATCGGCAAGTACAGCTCCGATTGTGGAAACCGTGTTTCTGAGTTTCTCAAGTTCACCCTTAACTCCCCACACAAGTCCCATCTCTTGGAGAAGAGCGGAACCCAACTTCTTCACAATTTCAATCAGAAGTGCTTCTGCCATTTCCTTTCAAGAGATGCTCAATTTTGTGCAGTTGCAGAATAAGCCCTTGAAAAATTGAAGGATTGAGAAGCTTGAAAATTTAATTCCTTTGAGAAAATTGAATGTTAAAAGAATAAATAATTTACCACCCACTCAAAGTAAAGTGATAGTCACAGACAGAACAATCTGAAAATAGCTTGAAAGCTTAAAGAAAGAATAATTAATTCCCCATACACGCAGGTGAGACAGCCCACAAGAATTGGTAGATGAGAAAAGAAAAGTGCTGTTGTGTTGTGAGCATGTTCAAAATTGGAGTGCTTAATTGCTTGGTATCCACTAAGGCAGAGGATGAACACAAAAATGCTGTCGTTTTTAGCCATTATCTAAAGATACCTACCTCCCATTATAATTAATCACCGAACCAAACTAAAGTTCATAGCATTTGCTTTGAAATGAGCCACAATACACAACTTTTGTAGTGCTAAGTGTAAGAATGTAAGTTTGAGATCAGAAACAATCATTTTATGGAAGAAAAAAAAAATCAACAATTTTAGAAACACATGCAATGGTTCTCATAGAACACAAATTATACGGGGATATATATTGGGTCTGTCTCTGTTGTTTTCACCCAATGGAATTGTTATGCTACCTAGAAAGAAAATAACAAAGAAATTAAAGAATCAGCTGTATGACCATTATTCTGTTTTTGGGCATGAGAAATTACACATAAATATATATATATATATACCTTTTCTAACTTAACATGTTACATTGGTACAACTTCATCTCTTGGACTTCCTACCATTGACGAGAAAAACTTCAAAATTTCCCTAACGAATATGGCATTCGGTGCAAGTATTTACTACATTTGGCAAGAACGGAACACCAATGTGTTTGAGGGCAAATCCTCTTCACAGAACGTCTTGTCCAAAATTATCAACTCAAGCTACTAAAATGGAAGCCCTAATTGCACTCAAAAGAGTGGGATCCCGGACCGATTGACACTCGCCCTCGTCCTCGCTCTCGCCCTCCTCCCCGTCCACCGGATTGACTGGTGGCTCAGCCTCACCGTTACGCACCATATGTGGTGGATGAAAGCACAGTGATGCCAAGAACACAGAGATACCAAAATGGGACATTTCAGTCGCTCAGATCTTCCATACCCTTCTAATTGTATTTGCTGATGTTTTTGGGCCATGGGCCAAGGTTCTTTTGTAATGAATGCATCTCATTTGATCACTGGGTCGTGTCTCTTTAGCCTAACTGAAGCCCAATGCAATTACTTTTTATTTATATACGGAGTAATTCTTTTGACTTTTCCAAAAAAACATAAAAATCAAAAATCAAAACATGAACAATGTGGTATACCCGGACCAATTTTAATGCTCTGAGTGGTAGTATGACATGAGGCTGGTAAGACTTCTGGAATTTAGGTCTGACTGGTTAGAAACAACCGATACTACTAGTATAAAGAAGAAGCTCAATTATTAAAACATACAAACCATAATATTTTCTAGCCAGTCTTCCTCCATATAATCACACTGCAGATGTCTTCTGATTTCTAACTGCAACTTCAATGAGTATCATCACGAAACAGCATGTCGTGGTTCAAAGAACTAATCCACAAATAAATTAATAAAATAAATAAATCTAACTCCAAATTCAGAGCCGTATTTGACAATGCAGTGTTGATGATTTGTCAGACTCTCCCTCGAAAGCCGTCGGAACTCCTCATAACTATGCTTCTGTGCTAGAGAGAATGTCGATGAGCTTCTCTACCCCTGGCTTCATCAGTTGTTCTTTCACCCGCAGTAAGTTGAGAAGTAAACCAGCCTTATTACCTTCAAGGAAGACACTTTGAGAGCTAGTGAGGAAGGCATAGATCTTTCTATTTTGTGGTCGACAAACTAGCCCTTTTCTTCCTACTCCAGCCAAGTCTCGTACAAGAAGAAAGATTGGAACCCACATTTGCCTCTGTACTATAATCGCTTCAGCTGGGACCCTTGTCTTTAGTCTTTTGCTTTTGACCTATCTCTATGCAGGGTGAATCTCTTGGCTTGCCCAGGGAACGCCTTGAGTGCCATTCATTGATCGTCCTTGACCTTCCTGAAAGCAACCTAAGGTAAGATTGGTCAAAGGATCCAAAGTAATATTTCTAATTTCATCTCAAACTTAAGATGAAATTATGCAAATCATAAAAATTCCTTCAAATGATTTTTAGTCAAGGGAATGCCAATCAATGACCTCAAATTGTTCTTTTGATTCTTTACTTACAATGCCTCAAAATCCAAATATGTTTTACTTGACTGGGTCAGTCCACTTATTCAGCCAAATAAAATAATTCAAGAAAAATTCTTAAGTAATATTGGTGAAATTGTCTGCAATTTTCTAAAACCTTAGTGTAGTTTCCTCACATTTATCCATTAAAGTTTTCAAGCACATGAAAATCTAATCCAAACTCAAAATATTAAATCTCTTACCTATGTAATTATTATATATTCAAACGCGTTAATTTTTTTTTTTTAAAGAAATTTCAGCTATGTCAAAGAAGTGTGATTTTTTTTTTCCTTTTCAAGAAAGCTGTGTCACTAGACTCGCTACAAATTGAACCAAGCTCTATGTTGTCTATTTCAGCTATCCATTTAACCTGTTTTTTTCTTGTAGGTCGTAGACCCTAATTAGTACTCTCAAGGTTTGGAGTGGGATATTGAGAAACTCAAATCACAAAAATCTGAGTGAGAGTGAGAGTGAGAGCGAGAGCTAGGTCTGCAACTTGGGCGGGCTAACCCAGCCCAGCCCAACCCCAACCCAGAGATTTTGAAATTTGGACATACAATTCACAAATCGGGTTCATGTTCGGGTTAGGTTTTGTCAAAACCCAGACATATTCGGGTTGGGCTCGGGCTCAACCCGAAACCCGAAAAAAAAAAAAAATTTCTCTTTCTTCTTTCTCTCTCCTCTCTCATCTTTCTCACTCTTTCTCTCTTTACCCATACATACAATTTAGCAGTCAGCAACTGAAGCTTGCGATGGAAAGAGAGAGACGGAGAGATCTGGGTTTTGATTTTTTGAACAATCTTGGAGAGCTTGCGATGGAAAGAGAGAAATCTGAAGCTTGCGATGGAAAGAGAGAGAGAGATCTGAAACTTGCGATGGAAAGAGAGAGAGACAGCGACTGAAGCTTGCGATGGAAAGAGAGAGAGATAGAGACAGCGGCTAAAGCTTGCGAACCCGAACTGGAACAGCGGGCGATGGAAATTGAAAGATCTGGGTTTTGATTTTTTGAACAATCTGAAATGATATGCCAATCTGGGTTTTGATTTTTTGAACAATCTGAAATGATATGCCGATATGGGTTTTGAACTTTTGATTCTTGCAGACAGATAGATAAATCTGAAATATATGGCTTTTGAACTTCTAATTCTTGTAGATTTTGTAATTTGCAGTTGGAAAGAGAGAGGGAGGGGGGGGGGGGGGGGGGGAAGTTCAGAGAGAATAAAGAAAGAGCCGATAGGGGAGGCTGAAATGATTTGCCCTAAAAATATTTTGTTTTTTTATAATAATATAATCAAATATTTTATATATATATTATATATATAATATTCTATTATATATATATATAATATATAAATTTCCAAAATACATAAATAAATAAAATTCAACCCATCAACCCAACCCGTCCGAAAATATTCGGTCTGGGTTATGACCATAACCTATGTTGAGTACAATTCGGGTTAGCCCAACCCAACCCGATTCGGGTTGAGGTTGGGCTGGGACTGGGCTAGGTTGGGCCAGCCCAAGTTGCAGCCCTAATGAGAGCTAGCGTTTGGGGCTGAAACTTGTAATCTCCTGATTTTCGCATAGTGAAAACTTTCACCGGATCTTCACCGTGATGTAGGCTCTACTGAACCACACTAAATCTTTGTGTTCTTTGTGTGTGGTGTGTTTACTTTTCTGTCGTGTATCTTGATTTGTTCTTAGGTTCGCTGCATTCTAAAAAGTACGGACACGGATATGGGACACGGATACGACACGACACGACACGGACACGGCGACACGGCAAATCCAAAAAAATTAGGACACGGACACGGCGAATAGTGTGTGTGTATATATATATATATATATATATATATATATGATGTAGTATTTTTTTTGGTTTAGAATTTTTAATTCTCAATTCGACTTCTTCAATTGCTTTTTGCATTTCTACAATATTCTGATATGCGACTTTTGGGCATATACGAATACCCATACCAGTGTTCTGCAACAAGTGGGCTTTAACTCTTGTATAAGACCCCCTGAATTCGTTATTACAAAAGTGGCATTTGAATAAAAAATTTCCTCCTCCACCACCAATTTTTTCTAATTGTGACATAGTTCCAAAGTGATTTGTTCTCATCTTATTCGAATTGAGGAGTACTACTAGCAACTGATGTAGACAATGACATCGACATGTCTAATTCCCTAGACATAAAAAGAAAAGAAAAAAAATCCATACTTACAGCAGTCAGCAAAGAAAGAACAGTCAGCAAAGAATGAATAAATTCCTATTTGATCACAGATTCACAATTCATATGCAACAACTGAAATTAAATCAAAGATGAAATCCTATTCATTTACAGGTCAATAAGTCACAGACTCACACCGGCTGAAATTAAAGCAAGAATAAAGACAACAGAGAAGAAGAAGAAGAAAGAATTTAGGAAAGAAATTAAGGTCTGTGAAAAAGGAAAAACACCAGAGAAGAAGAAAGAAAGAAAGAAAGACAGGTTTATGAAAAAAAAAAAAAAAGAAAGAAGAAGAAGAAATTTGGGGTCTGTGAAAAATGAAAAAAAAAAAAAATAAATAAAGAAGAAGAAAGAAACTGGGGTTAGTGAAAAAGGGTGGGGGTGGGGGTGGGGGGAAGGGAGAGAGAGAAAAGAAAAAGAAAGAATCTGGGGTTTTAAAAAAGGAAAACGAAAAAAAAACAAGATGAAGAAGAAAGAAAGAATCTGGGTTTGTGGAAAAAAAAAAAAAAAAGATGTAGAAGAAAGAAAGAAACTAGGGTTTGTGAAGAAAAAGAAAGAAAAGAGGAAGGAGGAGGAAGAAAAGAGGAGGAAGAGGAGAGAGAGAGAGAGAGACTGACCTGGAGGCTGGAGGGAGTCGCTTTGATCAGCAGCAGGAAGTTGCAAAGCTTCGTCACTTTGAGAGAGCAACCCGTCCTTTGAATCTCATGTTGTAATAGTGTAATGAGTAGCCTTAAATATCTATATCTTTTGTTTAAAATTGCATAGTAACCTTGAAAGTTTAAAATTATTATGTTTTGACCACATAAGTAAGTAAAACTTATTAAATAACTTCATATATTTATACTTTAACCCAACTTTCTTTCAAAAATTATCTTTTAAACCCCCAAAAATAAGACACGCGTGTCGGACACACACCCCTGGCGTGTCGGACGCGTGTCCGCGGAGTGTCCGTGCCGTGTCCGAAAATAAATAAAAAATAAAAAATTCCAGACACGTTTTTTGGCGTGTCCGACACGTGTCGAGGCGTGTCCGACACGTGTCGGACACGGATTCTTTGCCTATTTTGGAGTGTCCGTGCTTCCTAGGCTGCATTTGTTGTAACAAAATCATATAAATACATCTCCTTTGTCTCCAGATTAAATCTTTCTGCTCCCTGGAGAAGCCCATGATTCCTTAACAAATGCAAGCAGAAAAATGAAAAAGAAAGTGATGGTAACCTGAATCAGGTCATGCATTTTGTAGAATGAGGATTCACATATTTCTATTCAAAATTTCATCTTAAGAGAATATATATACAGAGAGAGAGGATAATAATTTGATTTTAGTTGCAAATGGAAGAAAGAAATGTGAAATCTTGTTTGTATCTAGCAACGTATGCTCCAACCAGTTTTGTGACCCGCACCATTCAAAAATCAACTAAACAAAAGAAGCATGTGATGCAGTTTCATAATCATCAAAATTATAAAAAGTACCTTCCTTGTCAGCATTATCATTCCATAGAAAGCTTTGGGATGTCAGCAATCTTGCATGTTTCCTTACAGCATCTGCAATGCAAGTGTAAGAGCTACTAATTCAAGCAAATTATGGAATCACTCATTTCTAAAGCCCTGAGACTTCAAAATATAAACTCTAAAATACATTACAAAACCCAAGTCCAACAAAGCATAAGAGTTTCAAAGTCTCAGTACCTTGAAAATAGTAGTGTAGCCAGAGAATCAGGGTCTTCAAGCAATTTCTTCGTTCATATGTTGCAGAGGTTCTTGTACAGCTCACTGCGTTCCAAAGGTTCTTGTACCGCTCACTGCGTTTCAGAGGTCCACAATGTAGTTTTTGTGATCATTTAACTTCTTGCATCCCATTCAAGTATCGTTTACAAGTTAATAGTAAATGTTGGCCATAAAATAATCAAAGAGACATCACTAGTAGACAGAAAGCTCACAAATGGTGAATTTGCAGAGGAAACAACAGGGTTTGCAGTGGAAGGAGAAGCAATAGGTTCTTAGAGGTCCAATGGTTTGGGAAATAGGTCTGAACTCTGAAAGTGCAGCTAAAATGACCAAGTCTTACTAAATTTTAGTAGGATTAAATTGCAATAGGTGGTTCCGACTGTTTTCACCAATCAAGCATGAAATGATGGGTTCATGATTTGGTCTTTGTAGAGGAAATATTGTTACAGAAGTAGGTTTAATGGTGGATATCAGTTGGTTTGATTAGTCAAGCAAGCAGCAGAATCCCTCTAGTGGTCGTTGAATTTTACGTGATTATCCATGACTCCATATGTGTTGAGGAGAACTGGATTAAGATCAGATGCCATGACAGGAAGGAAAACTTTGGTGTCTCCAGAAAAACTCTCAGTAAGCTGGGTTAGTCACTTCCTCATTGATGTTAAGCCAAGCTCTCCATCTGATTAGACCATATACAGAAAGGTTACCTGCAAACCGCCAATCAACCACACCTTTGTCATTCATAAAGCCTCCCAAACCACCCTAGATGAGAAGGGTTTTCCCCCTCTTTTCTCAACCTAAGAGACCACAATATTTAACTTCAACTGTTCAAGTCGGTCTAATGGCCCTTAAAGGAAGATGCAATTAGATGAGAGATTCCTAGAAGGCATGAGAGGATCAATAAACGTCATAATACCCTGGTGCTAAGTGTCAAAATAGACATAAAACTACCACTCAGTGAGTACTCAGCACTATCCATATAAAAGAAATCCAAGAGTTCTTTTTTTAAGAATCCTTTTTTTTCTATTTCCTTTCTTTTCTTTCTTTTCTTATTTTTTTATTTTATTTTTATACACATAACAGCAAGTAAAAATCTGGAGTGTAGTTTTCTATGAGTGCCTTTAGAAGACAAACTGTTGAGGGATTGGCCCAAACTCGACACTTCCATGGTCATCTGGGGGCATGATAAGGCCCTCTTACTTGTATTACAATCCTAGGGTTCCTTAAACTTCAAAAGGTGTTGAATAACGTAACATGAGTCAAATTTAGCCCTCAGCTTGCCAAAAAAGCAACCAAGAAGATGAGAGAAAAATAAATAAATAAATTGAACAGAAAGTGACAAGTAAATATTTTCATAATTCCACTAACAACATAATATAACATTAAGTTACTAACAATATAAAAAAAAAAAACAGACCCCAAACACAATTAAATTAACTATAGACAACAGTTGTATGCAAGGGGATTTTAAATAGGCAACTATCCACTATTCTTGGACTATAAATCTAAATTAATACAATCAATAACACACAAGCTCCATTTGGAAGTGTCCAACTCTGAGAGTTGCATCCAATCATCTCATCCAAAGTCGAGAGCATCGCCGACTAAGCCTGCTCTTTTTCAAATGTCCTAGTGATCCTTTTCTCATTCAACCCACTAAAATAAAAATGTACACTTAACACTTATCAAAACATGTTCAATCTGTAGTATGACTCTGCTTGACATTCATGCTCATTTTAATTTTAATGTGTTGGAAGCACTGATTAGTGTAATGCTTTTCTAAAATGGTACTATAAAAAAGGTCAGTCAAATGGGTTGCATACCTGAACAAGTAACCACATAGCAAATGACACCCATCCACACACTATGAATATAGTGCTATGCGTCCAATTGGGCATATTTTTTTATGATGACGAGTACTATGGTGCTCGATATAGAATTTTTTTTTTACCCTTGTAGAGGCCAACAAGTAGCAACGCACAAGATTAACCCAAATCTTTTTTTAGCCAGCCTTTGTACGCTATCCCAGACTCCAAGTTCTCTACCGTACAACCATGAAGCAAAAAGTACTGATATTAATACACTTAAAACATAGCAATGAAAAAGAAAGAAAACATAGCAAATAGATGTAGTCAGACTGAAAAGTTATAAATGAACACAATGCATTCAAGTTAAATCAGATTAGAATATATCCAAGAGGAGTTTTTTTATGGGAGTATGGGATGAGAGCTCAATCATGCTTGATACCCTGTGATTATGGAGAACACAGAAGTAACAACTGGAATCAAGTTGAGGACATTGGTAGCATATGTATGCTGTTTCTAGTAGCCCATAATAATACAACCTCATAGCCATTGATATCTTGTGTCATGTATATGATAAGAAGGAACCAATAACTCAAGAATCTTGAAAAGATAGAGTTGGCAAAATATGACACAAATACTTGCTAAAGATATATATATATATATATTTGCACATACATACATACAATAACCATGGCTCTGTATAGAAATGATACCATGAGACCAAGAATTTTGAATTATAACCAACTGCGGCCAGGTATCTTTCTAATCCCTCTCTCCTTCATTCTGTTCCTTAGAAGAGATACGTCCAACCACCGATCTGCTGCTGCATATATGTCAGACAACAATACGTAATTGCCAGCATTGCAAGGCTCAAGCTGAAAAAGGTGATTCGCAATTTCTTCGCCTAACTCAACATTGCAATGCAGCTTACAAGCCCCAAGAAGTGCACCCCAGGCCCCAGCATGAGGGGCCACAGGCATTGATTTTATGAGCTCATATGCTGCTTTTACATTTCCTGACCGTGCAAGAAGATCGATAATACATCCATAGTGATCAGGAGAAGGAACAAGAGAGTAGTCATGTATCATGGAATCAAAATAGCGGCAGCCCTCTTCAACAAGGCCTGCATGACTACAAGCTGTCAGGATGACCGTAAAGGCAACATCATCAGGGGTAAGACCTTCATTTAGCATCCTGGCAAAGAGGCCAACAGCTTGAACGCCATGCCCATGAATTGACAGGCCTTGTATCATGGAACAATATGAAACGAGGTCCCGCTTAGGCATCTGTTCGAACAAGATGGTAGCTCTCTCCATGTTTCCACATTTTGCATTCATGTCTAATAGAGTGGTAGAAACATGAGCTTGCCGGAGATTAATTGAACTCCTGCTCACATAAGAATCAACCCATTTAGCCAGTTCCAAACAACCAATTTGGGAACAAGCAGACATCAAGTTCACCATTATATATTCATCAGGCTTTAGATTCCTCGAATCCATTTCAACAAATAATTTAACAGCCTCATTAGGATTGCCATTCTGTGTATAACCTGATATCAAAGCCGACCAAGCAACAATGTCTATATTTGGCGACTGGTCAAACAAAAACCTCGCCATCGCCATGTCACCTGCCTTGGCATACCCATCAATCATAACAGTAAAAGAGACCACATTCTTAATAGGCATTTCATCAAACAACTTCTTAGCACCCCTCAAATCACCAGATCTGACAACCGCACTGATCATCGCATTCCACGAGGCGTGATTCCTAATCGGCATTTCATCAAACAGCCTCTTTGCTTGTCCCAAATCCCCAACATTTACAAACCCAACAATCATAGCGGTCCAAGAAACCACATTTCTCACACTCATTGCATTGAACACCTTAAGTGCACAATTAATTTCTCGGCACTTCCCGTAAAAGTCAATCAAACTCGACCCAACAAAAACATCACCATCAGTCCCATGCCTCACTATCGACCCATGAATGGCCCGCCCGACCTTCAACGCCAATTCATTCGAACAAGCTTTAAGCAACGAAGGAAACGTAAATTTATCAGGAACAACAGTTCCATTTCGCTTCATCCGGACAAAAATTGAAACAGACCCATCAAGAGAAGAGTGTTCTGTATAGCCTTTGATGAGCGTGTTCCAGAGATAGATATTGGGTTGAATGACCCTGTCGAAAACACTAGTAGCATATGCGATGTTGGAAGAGAGAGAGTTGCAGAGAGTGATAAAGCGGCTTATGATAATATGGTCTTGCTCTATACCTCGTTGGATGATTTGGGTGTGTATATGTTCGAGGTTTCGAAAGGTTTTGCAAGCGTTGAGAAGAGTTAAGATTGAGGGAGACGAAGAGCTTGATGATTCAGTCAGCTTTGAGCATCGACTGATCAGACTCATGATTTTGCTGACCCATTAGCTTCGGTAACAAAATGTGACGAGACTAGGTAGATAACGAAACATAGTTCTACGCAAGAATCAGAGGCAAGACAAATCTATCACGCGCGAGACGCTTATAGTGTACTGTACTATGTGGACCGGAAACCTATTTTTCATGCAATGCCGCGGCTCATTCCAATGTCCGGCCAATAACACACAAAAATAAATATGTTAAACTTTATTTAAGAAAAACTTAAATGAACTATGATATCCAAGTTATTAAAAATATTATTATGTAGTAACAGGATCTAGTATTTTTATTAAGGTGATATAATATAATTGGTGGTTGAAAAAAAAAAAAGTCAAGATTTTGACTTGAGCACAGTGAGAAAACAAAATTCAACTCGTTCAAATTAAGATGCAAAGCAAAAGAAAATAACATTACAAAATAATATCCTAAATTAATTAATAGTATAATAAATAGGGTAAAGTGCATTAAACCCCCCTGAACTATTGGGGTATGTGCAAGAAACCCCCCTGAATTATAAAAGTTACAAAAAATCCCCCTAAACTATTGGGGTATGTGCAAGAAACCCCCCTAAACTATAAAAGTTGCAAAAAATCCTCCTGAATTATATATTTTTTTGCAGTTTACTCCATCCACGCGAATTGATTGACTGAAAGGGACAATGAAGCAGAGGAATTTGTTACTGGGATCGGTGGGTCTCCTATCATAGCTCCATCATAGCCGTTGCACCACCCGCCAGATCCGTCAGCCATATATATCGCACTTCTCTGCACCGTTGCGTCAGCCCATCGCCATCACCGCCTTACCCGCCATTCAACTCACCTTGCTCGCCGGTCCATTCCACCGTCCATTCCAATCTCGCCGGCCCATTCTGTCATCTCCATAGCCGAGCACACCGCCGTCCGTATTTCGAGCACATAGCAGTCCACAATTCACCGCCGAGCCCCCTTGAGCTAGTCACCGCCTCCACAGTTCACGACCGAGTCAATCGAGCTCTCATCACAGCCGAGTCCTCCGCGCACAAGCCACCATCATCCGAGACCGAGTCATCCCGCCAACCTCGGATTTTCTCTTCTCTCTCTCTCTCCAGCTCTCAGTCTTGGGTTGTGTTGGGTGAAAAGCATCTTTTGGCAGAAAAAAAAAAAAAAAGTAAGAAGTGTATAAGTTAAAACGACGCAGTATGTTATAAGGGTAAATTGGTCTTTCAAAATTTTCGGTGCCGGAAGCTGATGTCATGGGGGCAAATTGCAACAAAATCATAGTTCAAGGGGGTAAATTGCAACAAAATCATAGTTCAAGGAGGTTTTTTGTAATTCAGGGGGGTTTCTTGCAAATGACCAATAGTTCAAGGGGGTTTAATACACTTTACCCTAATAAATATAAATACTCGATCAATATAAGAAAATACTATTTAGTAATATTTTGATTGAATTCAGCTCTTTGTATTTTGAAAGCAATGCATGAACTTTGAAAGGAAAATAATATAGAATTTGATTATAGAAGAGAAATTTAACCTTTTAAGGAAATCACATATATCTTAGGCAAGTACAAAAATAATAATTTTAAGAAGTGGGAAAGAAAAAAGAAGAAGAATAAGAACTTTGTAAGGAAAAAATATATATAAAGAAGAAGAATGAGAACTTTTGGTTAGGAATTCTTACTAATGCGAACCGGTTTAAAAAGAAATGAGATGTTTTTTATAATTTTTAACAACTATATTCATAGTTTGGCAAACCGGTTCGCACTAGTAAGAGGTTCTAACCAAAAGAAATGTTGAGGGTTAAATTGAACTTAATTGTTAGATTTATCTATGTTTGCAATTTATACAATAGAACACAAAACTAAAGTAAGTTAACACAAGCGAGCTCCCACTTGATAATAGTCACGAGTTCTTTATATCCTTTGTGCTTTGACTTTTGGAATAAATTTTCTTTATTGTTTTGGATTTTTGTGGTTGAATCCACCCCATCACTAAAACGCACTTATATTTTTTTGTGACACATTGTATAAATTACTTTTTATATTTAAAAATTAATCGGTGGAGCACTGCTAAATTTTATGTATTCATTAGTTATTACATGTTTCATTCTTCTCTGGACATTTCATTATTAAAAATAAAAAATAAAAATCACTCTTTTACATGTTTTCTTTGACAAATCAGTGTAAAAATGCCTACATCAGAAGAAAAGATAGTGAGGTTGCCCAAAGTCCTGAGAACGGTAATGCAAATGCTGAGTGACCGGGGGTACTCGGTGGAAGACTCCGAGATACAGATGACTAAACAGCAGTTTGTTCAGAAATATGGCGAAAAATTGGAAAGAGGGAACCTTGTCATCAACAAATCCAAGCGCTACGATAAGGTTTGTTCATTAATTACCATATGAGTCCTCCCTCTTGAGGACCATCCCATGGCAAGACCATAACTAGTAGTGTTCCTTTTTATTTTAGGAGAAGCTAGAAGAAAAAAATGTGAAATTCAAAAACCCAAACGGACATACTACCTCCGTCCCATTTTAATTGTCCGCCTCGTAAACTGTGACTCAATATATGAGTCACAGTTTATGAGTCACAGTTTACGAGGCGGACAATTAAAATGAGACAGAGGGAGTAATAGAGAACTAACAAAGAGTGAAATTGCAGAACAAGCAATGCTTGCCTGTAATGATTGTGCCTTTCATTCATATAATGATATAAACTTAATTAAATTGTTTTTGTTTGGTATTAGTGAATTGATTTTGAATTTTTGATATTGATTCCAGAGCTTATCCTATCTGTATGTTCATCAATCAATTTAATATGCCATAGCATTTTGCTTCTCATGTAGTCATTCACAATTTACAATTAGGCATGGTCTTTGACATGTACTTTCTCTGTGATTCTTCGGTATCCCAAAGTAAATGAGGACTATATCATTTTAATTGTTCCTTCTGTATGGAAATTATGGTTGCAGAGATTTTATGCCACGTGATACGTGCCTATTCTTCCTTACATTCTTTTGTTTGTTCGTTTATTGTATGTTTTCTACTCCTCGGATCAGATTTATGTCTTCTCTGTAGGGGAACAGAAGGTTGATCTAGAGAACGGAAGATTTTATTGATCGTATGAAATCAGAGAATATGTTTCGAGCAATGTTGATCGTTCAACAGAAGCTGACTCCCGCTGTTCTTAAGTGCAAAAACCAAATATGTGCATCTGAAGATTTCCACTTAGAGATTTTCCAAGTGATTTTAGTGTTTTATATACTTTTCATCTTACTTTTAGCCAATTCATAGACCAATTTAGAAGACAATACAATGAAAAACATGTAATGGATTGTTCATATTGAATACTAACATTGATTAAACTCAGATGGTTTAATAATTGGCGGTCATGGTTGAACTTAGTGTGTGAAATCAGAACAAAACAGAACAAATCATTGATTTTCATTTCCTTATTCAAGACACAGTTTTGGTTGTTTATCAAAATTGTTTGGTGATCTTTATTACATGGTGGCATTGGTGGCTAAATCTTTATAGTATCCATATGTATTTTATTTGAATTCATCAGTAAAATGTGAGTGGGAGGGATGATGATTCTTTGTTTATCCACTCCAATCATGCAGGTGAGAGAGTTGTTGGTCAACATTACAGACCATGTTCTTGTTCCTGAACACCAGCTGCTCACAGACAAAGAAACGAAGACTTTGTTGAAGACATATGCTGTGAAAGAATCACAGGTAAATCAATTATCAGCAATTTTGATGTTTAGATTATTTTGTTAAATTAAAATAATTTAATTCTTGATCATTGTTTCATGTTTATAATTTTAGTTGTTTACTATTATATTTTATTTTACATATTGTCACGTTATGTTGGTATAAGACATAATCTAATATCCAATTATAGAAATTTATTTGTTTTGCATGTTATTGTGGCCGACTCTATTCATATAGGATTAAGACAAGAATGATGATGAGAGGGGGATCATTGTTTCCGTTAAAATTAATGAAAGCCTCTTTGATTCATATCAGGGTAGTGAATGAAAGTGCCTTTGATTCATATTAGTGAATGAAAGTGGACCAAGTAAAGGTTTTAAAGCCTCCATATGCAGAATCCAGCCTAGAGTGGGACATTTTAATTTATACGAGTGTATAACGATATTCTGAGATTATGTGTATGTATGACAGCATTTAAATTTTTTTTCCCTTCCCTTTTTCTTGTTTTCTGTTATATATATGTATGCAAACTACTGAATTTTAATTTCGCATGATTATAGAATGTTTTCTGCAGTAGGATGTAACTGACTTGATAGCCCAAATCTGGAATATATATTATAAAAAAGTAGTTGGTGATTTTTTTTTTTGCAAGTTACTCTCAGAAGTAGAATTTATTTATTTTCCCTGATGCGATTGATATATCTATAAAACTATATATGTCCAACAAAGACGAATACTTAGGTAACACTCCAAGAAATTAATCAACGATCGAATATAGTTCTCATTGATGATAAGGCAGAATGCAAGGCATTGAGTACTTTGCTCATCAGCATGTGCACGACAAATGCTACATACTGACTATATATAGCTAGTGATTCTAGCAAATTTTCATGAAAAAGTTGTTAATGACTTTTAAATCCACTTATTTATTTTTCCTGCTCTGTAAAGGAATTTTTTTTTGGCTCCCCTCTACATACTGACTAGCTAGTGACTAGAAGATTAGGTGATAATTTATCGAAAAAAAAAAAAAACCGAAGAAGAAAAGACTAGGTGATAACTTGAAGAAAATCACTATGCTGCTGCAAGTTTTGATTGGGGTTCAAAATTCAATTTAAGTGTCTGGATGATAAAACGGGGGATAATGACAAGCTACAAATGATAGTTAGGGCCTACTTTGTTTATTTATTGGGGTTCAAAATTCATTAGGGTTTCTAAAGTAAACGACACAATGAGGGATAGTTAGGGCCTGCTTTGTTTAGTTCCTTAAAAACAATTCTCAAAAATAATTGTATTTTTTTTTAAACGTCAACCTGTCTTTTTTGAAAATCTCAACCTAAGAGTTTCATTACAGTTTTCAAATTTAACCAAGCAGGTGCTTAGCTTCTCTTTGTTAGGCTACCTTTTCATAGTTAATTTTTCCTTTCCTTCTAGTTTGGATGTTTGAACCATGTTTTCACTTATAGTTTAAAATGTCTTGTTTTCAGTTACCTCAAACACAACTGACCAATCCAATCGCAAGGTATTATGGGATGAAGCACGGGCAAGTTGTGAAGATTATCCTACCAAGTGAGACTGCAGGCTATTACAAAACTTATCGATATGTTGTTTGATTCTCAATTATCTTAAAAGTAACCGAGTATTTGAGATTTTTAATTCGACGAGCTTCTTGGCAGTTGGACTCCAATCATTGACCTAATGGCTTTATAAGGGCTTTATATTTCAATCACCAACTAATACTAATGGTAAGAGTTACATGTATTGCCTATTTATAGGCAGGCACCTAGCACAAAAAAAATAATAATAATAACTAAAATAAAATCATAGATAAATAGTCAAAAAGTTCTCCAATACTTAAATATTAGGGTAAATTACACTCAGATCCCATGAAGTTAGGTCATTTCTCACCTAGATAAAGATTTTGATTTTAATTTTCACTCATATTCATATTTGAAAGAATGATTTTGTATTTCACTTACACCCTAAATGTCAATTTGGAAGGTGAGTGAAATACTTTTTAATTATAAAATGACTATTCTATCCTTTTGACCATCTGTTGACTTAAAAAAAGTGTATTTTAATTTTTTTATGACAAAAATACCCCCACAAGGCCAACAGACAAAAGCCATGAATCAAAGAATTGTATGTCACTGCATCGGCAGGAATTCCTTGATCAACCATTTCATCGAAAAAACTTACAGCTTCCTTCAACCGGCATGCACTACACAATCCATTAATCAAAGAACTATAAACAATAACATCTGGAGAAACTCCTCCGCCAATCATTTCTGTGAAGATATCAATCGCCTTACTTATCAACACATCCTTGCAAAGAGAATCAATGACCATGTTATATGTAAACACATTCACCTCGCAGTTTGTCTTTAACATCTTCCTATGCAACTCAAGAGCAAGACCCGTCTCGCGGATTTTACAAAGCCAATTAATAAGAATTCCATATGCGAACACGTCTCCTTGGATACCCTTTTTTCAGTCATTTCATCAAACAACTGGACTGCATTCATAACCCTACCTTCCATACACAAGCCCTTAACCAGAGTATTGACGGTCATTGGATCCGGCTTCAAACCTCTCTTCAAAATCTCCCAAAAGACCAAACCCAGAATTGACATTATTCAAGTGACAATAACAATTGATCAAAATGTTCAATGTACACAAATCAAGCTCAATTCCAGCAAAACTCATCTTCTTATATAGCGAAAACATTACCAAATAGCATCTGAGCTTGGAGATAGAACCAAATAGATGATTAAACGTATCGATTAACGGCATTGGTTGCGTTTGATTCAATTTGTCAAAGTACTTTTGGACAACCCTTAACATTATTTCTCCTACAGATTCGCTGGTTTTGGAAGTTGAAGAAGAATATTGAAATGGGTTTGTATATATGGAGGTTAAAGAGTATATATATTTACATTTGCATTATTTTGCAACATTAAAGTAGGAGTATTTGGTGTTGGGAAACGTGCTAGTTTTAAAAACTTTTCGAGGGATTTAAATTCATAGATCTTGATTCATCACATAGAGACAAGTTTTATGCAAAAAATAAAATAAAATATGATTTATTATTCAACTAAAAGATTGAATACTTACATCAAGGTTTGAGTAAACCTCAGATCTCTCCTCTAAAGTGAATGTTTCACTTATTGTAGATCCCTTTTGCTAGATGCATTCTCCTTGGATCTCCATCTTTTTGGTAATTGTTTTGCCTTTAGGAATCACTCATATGCCTCCATGAATGACCTTGGAAAACTAGGCTTGTGGGAGCCTCCATTAGATGAGAACATAAACCCTAATTTTCTAGAGAGAGAAAATTTATTCCTTTTTCCTTCTCATAAAAATCACCCCCTAAAATATACATAGACCATGTATATTTATAGGCAACATAAAAATAAAGAAAAGGAAACAACAAATCCTTCTCCATCTCTAATTCATATGTCTCAAATCTAATATGATTCCAATATCAAGTTGGGCTATGAGTGAGAATCCATTGGGGCCTATTATTTTATTGGCTACAATGAATTAATAATTGGCCCGGTCCATGGACCCAATTCAATTAATTCATAAATTAATTTATACTCCACTAAAAGAAATTAATTGAACTCCAATTAAATAATAAATAACCTCTAAGTCAATATTGCACTTTGACCCCTCTATGCATAATTAGTTATCGGATAAATATAGCCATCAATCCGACTACTTAATTAATATATTTATTTTGGTACCTTTGATTATTTCTGGCTCGATCACAATAAAACATTTGTTTGACAAAAATAATAATTTAAATAAATAAATATATAATAAATCATTTTGTCTAAAAACACACGAAGGCCTTCGAATTTACTTTGTGATCAACCATAATCAATACAAAATAAATACAAGTAGCAATGATGCAAATATTGAAAATATAACCCTCTAACTATTAATTACATAACTACCCAAAGTGTCGGTCTAAGGATCCCGAAGAATCCGCCGAACAAATCAAAGTAATTATTAATTAATAAAAGAGTCTATACTTTTCTCATGCTTAAGAGTCAAATGCCATGACGGTGATAGGGAGTAATTGCATACGACGGCTCTCGCAATATATCTCAACCTAACGCGGATCCAGTTCAAGTCTTAATTAATTATGAGTCCATCCATAATTACCGACTATGAACAATTTATAATTACTATTTATATATCATGCATTGATTGTCATCACATACATATATATAAATATTTCTTGTAATTAACTGGACACTATCAATTTCATAGTGAATCGAAACATAATACATTGAATTCACCAATTATATAAATCATAAATATTTCAGATATGTCAGGAACATATGTCAATACAATCCAGATAGGAATTTGCTATGCCAGGGCATATAAATCCCAACATTTGGAACTGAAAAAATTGTTCAGATACATGTACTTTGGAAGTTACAAACATGCATATGTATGAATATAGACTTGCATAAACAAATCATATATCAGCTGCAGAAAACTATGGACAGGTCAATGGAGATGTCTTCTTGATTATGGGATACAGTAGAGTATAATTTATTAGATGTATATTCTGCATTTTCATCAAAATATAAATTTGACGTAGTAATGGATATTCTACATTATTACAGGTAGTATTCACTATTCATTGAACAAAATGAGTTTGGGATTTAAGATCGCAAAATTTGCTAGAACTTTCTAATTTATCTTAAAGTGAGAGCTTCGTGGGTTATATTTTCCCTGACTATATATGGGTTAGTTTGGTTAGGAGAGAGATGCAGAGAGGTGTGTTGGGTGTTGTGTGGCGTGTGTCATTTGGTGCGTGCTAATGTGTTAGTATGTAATGGGAGGGGTAGTTTTGTCTTTTAGAGTTACAGAATTTTTTTGTATTAAATTGTATTAAAAAAATTAAGAGTAACATGGTTCATTCACATGTGTCAGAGTCCAAAAGTAAATTGGGGGTGTAAGTGAAAGTTAAGACCAAAATCTTCATATAGGTGAAAAATAACTTAATCTCAGAGGGTGTTAGTGAAATTAACCCTAAATATTGTCGTCATGTATGATGGACGTGACCATAATCTTTTCCTCCATAGATGTTAATGGTGATGTTTTCTTTTTGGATAATCAATTTTGTTATATATTGGACCGGTGTAATGCTTTTGCTTTGACTCTAAGCAGATGCAATGTCTTTGTTTTGAAATTTGTTTAATATTATTTGGCAACCACAATTCTTTTTTATTTGCATTACATATATTTGTTGCAAAATATTTAAAAGCAAAAACATGAAAATATGTTTGTTAAAAAAAAATGTTGCAAATTTGAAAAATTAAATAACTAATTTTTTATTTTTTTTTTCAAGATAAAAAATACACTCATTTGCTCCTTTGAAAACTTGAACTATTGATTTTCTATTTTGAAAGGCAAAAAAAAAAATATTAAATGATTAGTTAAAAATATTATTTTAAAATATATTTTTTACAGTATTTTTTTGGTGAGTACGTTTCCAAACTTTCGTACTATTTAGATTGCAACAAACACGCTTTTATTACAACTAACGGGCATTTGCTTTTTTTTTTTTTTTTTTTTTTTTTTTTTTTTTAAGTAAAAGGCGAAAGAATAGTTCGCTTTGTGCTTATCACACGGCTCTGTGGGCATTTGCTTTTTGTGTGTGAATATGGACTGGGCTGCATATAATTTTCCCACTAACTCACAGGTCATAATTACAACTCACAAAGCAACTTTTATTACAAATTCAGATCTCAAGTATTGTCCGCTTCGAGAAGTCTTGGATATTGATACGATAAAAGTGTTGATGTGAGATTGCTTTGTGAGTTGTAATTATGACCTGTGACTTAGTGGGAAAATTATATGCAGCCCAGTAGGTTGGATGAAGTTTGTCTTATGTGGCCCAATCAGGTTATGACATGTGTCATAAATTATCGGTTGTTGTAATCATTTATTAAAAAAATGTCTCCAATTGTGATCGTCTAAATTTTTTTTTTCCAACTTCATGCACACAAATCAGACTAAACTTATATTTTTCACATATGTGTGAATACGATCTAGTAAAATTATTTATTGTTGTATATTATATTTACCTGTTTGCTTCCTTCCTTCATGAATTATGAATTGGTAGATATTATTATGTTGATGAATATTAAGTATTGATGGTTTAAATGTTTTGACATAACTACGTCATCAAGCATAAGATTTTTGCTTATACTTTTAGGCTGAGCCTCATAATCTTTGGGGGTTTGCTGCTACAATATACGTGCATCTATTATAACAGTGCTCTTCACATTTCTATATATGAAACTGCATGATGTGCTAACTGCAATATCTCAAACGCAGAGATATGACCCTGACACAGCAGCAAAGGCAGCTGCTGCAACTGTTCTTGCTTCCAAGTTGGGTGCAGATTCTGGCTTGAAAGTGTATGTGGGAAATGAGTCTAAGCTCAATGCCCCTACTGGAAAGAGCAATGATGTTGAATATACGCAATCTGATGGGCTCAGAAATCGAAACCAATTGCATACAAGATCCAGTGGCACAGGGAGCACTGTAATTCATCATCCTGATGAAGAAACGTTCTATCATGCGGGTAATGAGGTTCCTGAGACTTCTGAGCATAATCCGCTGGTTGTTGAACATCGCCATAATCCAAGATCGGCCACGCATGATGGTGGATGGATGGCTTGAATTGCAACATTGCTTGTAGGAGAGGATCCAACACATCCTTGAATCTTATATATTTTTACTTTCGCCTCTACTAAAAGAACAAAAAAATGATTGTTTGAATCCATGCAGAATGTGTTGTGGAAGTAGGAAAGAATAATTTCCATTATCTCGTCTTCTGCAGGGCTTGCAAGGAAGGAGGGTTTCCGTACATAACGTACTACTGCCCACACTGCAATGCCCTTTTTGTCAGTCAAAGCAACTTGAACGTGTTTATGGTTCTATCTCCCCCAATGGTGATGTCAACATTGTCGACAATGCTAGTGATGCCATGAGTGACAAAAACACCTGCAAGCAGCACCACTCCCGTGGAAACCACCGGCGGAACTGAAAAGGTTGTTTATGAGGATCCAATTACTTTACCTTCTTATTGCTTCGAGCTTTGGGTTCTGGGGTTGCAATGGGTTGCTTCTTGCTTGGTTATGTAATGTCAAATTTTCTGGATTGAGGAATTTTTGCTCAATGGTTTATACTTAGATCACATGAGATGGTTGCAACCACGGGTTTTGATAGCTGCTGTTGTCGTATGTGTGGAGTTCCAGACAAGCAGAGCCAGGATTTGAATTCAAGGGGATATGGTGGGAATTTTTTTTTTTTTTTTTAAATAAGAATAAGAAGAAAAAGAAAAGGGAAGAAAAATCAATTTGAAAGAAACAAATTAGAGCATGATTAAATAAGGGGAATTTAACCTTTTTTAAAAGGTAATTAAAGAAATTTAAAGAGAAAATGATGATAAAAATTAAAAAAAAATAAAAATTGGAAACTAATAATTTTAGTTTGGTCATAATATACAAGTTTCTATATATATATATATATATATATATATATGTAAAAAAAAATAAAAAAAAAAATAAAAATTAAAATCATATATATATAGGACTGGGCCAGGCAGGGCTGGCTCCGCCCCTGATTCCAGACATATATACAAGAAGTATAGTGTTCAAAATATTTTATCAAGGGCCTTTTTGTTTACCGTTTTCATTTCTTATTTATCATTTAAGATTAAACATAAGCATGTTTTCATGTTATGTTATCAATAAATAGAAACATACAAACGACATAACTTTGTTTGCTAGCTTTGAATTTTTTAAAGAAAATTGTAACGCAGTAAACAATAATGTTTTAGAAATCTTAAAATGTTTGAAGAACCTGCATATAACCTTCTTACACAGAGGATGTGAAGCCTACATATAGCAAAGTTTATACAAATATTTGAAATACAATTGGACACAAAATCAACCTCCATAACCCCAAGCTGACCAAACACAAAGCAAGAGCATGGCATGTGAGAGTGTGAAAAAGGCACCCGTTTAGAGGAGTGAGAGAGTGTGAGAGAGGCACCCGTTTAAAAGAATTATAAGACTTAATGTATGAGTAGTAAAAACCACCTGTTGGTTGGACTACATCTCAAAAACATAAGAGATTCGACATGCATATAAGGATGTAAAAGAATGGTGGATTTGTAAAACAATACACAACATGCCCGAGTTAAATTTAATAACAAGCGTCAATATCAATCCGGAAACAATAATAGAGAATAGAATATCATCATCAATAATAATAAAAATAACAACAATAACAATAATAATAATCACACAATCAAACCAAATCCATTCCCAAAAACCCAAAACCCCAACTCTGACAGGCTTTGGAAAGCCCGTGCCCAAAAACCCAAAATTCTAACTGGGACATATGCTCTATTCCAAAATCTGATAGGCTTTGGAAAGCCCCGCGCCTAATCAGTTCCAAAGCAGTAGCTTGTTTGAGTATCTTTTGGATTCCTGGGCAGATGCTTCTACTGGCAGAAAGAGTCAGAAGTCGATTACTGAAATTACTGTCGGAACTTTCCAAGTGAGGCGCAACAACTCTGATCTTAAAGGCATAAAATGACTGATAATCGTAACAAGGCAGCAGCATTCGAACTGCTTCATTTTTCCATTTATCTCTATTTGCAAAAAAAAAATTTGATACTCTCACCTGGAAAATAAAAAGAGAGAGTACTGAGAAACCTCAAATTTCCAATCTCCATGGCAATACTATTAACATTTTGTTCATTCCAACATTGGTCTTTGTGGTCAATGGAGACTTCCAATTCTTCGAGAATACTAAGTCATGAGGTGGAATGCGTATTCTATCAGTAGGAGTCATAACAAACACTACTCTAATGCACCTCAGGCTAAGCAGCCCGCCAACCTCATCTGTCAAAGAATCAATTAAAATAAGGTTGGCGGGCTGCTTAGCCTGAGGTGCATTAGAGTAGTGTTTCGGTATGATGTTACGACTCCGACTGATAGAATACACATTCCACCTAACGTCATGAGGAGACTTAGTAATCTCGAAGAATTGGAAGTCACAAAGACCAATGTTGGAATGAACGAAATGTTAATCGTATTGCCATGGAGATTGGAAATTTGAGGTTTCTCAGTTCTCCAGGTCTATAGATGATGAGAGACCATCAAGGATGAGAAGGTACTTCCTGCCGCTCAACGCTTAAGTAATGCGAAAAGCTATCTGTTCTCTGCTATAGTTACCCGACCCCACACTTATCTTCAATCTAGTGAGGATGTATTATTGAATTTTTCTGATCACGCTCTGCCCATCTTCTGGTTCAGCTGTCGACCAAAGCACCCATTCGAACATTGTTTTACCCTCCAATTAGTTATTAAGATTCTTCAGAATTGCAGTTTTGCCTACTCCTATCTTTCCCCACAGAATAATTATTTTGTTCTTCTCAGTGGCTTCGAAAAGTTCTTGACATATGTTTAATATCTCAACATCTATATTCTCAGAAGTATCCATCTTTATAACCTGTTCAGGTTCTTTACAAATTACAAGCTCTTGACTCATTCTTCCACTGAGATCTTTAATTTGAAGTTTCAACTTATCAAAATCTCTACTCAGTTTAGCAAGCCTGAAAAACTGTGGTGAAATCGCCAGCTGGGGAATTAACTTTGATACATAGGCTTTCCTAATATACCCCTTAAAAATGCATACCCTGCCTAAGATAATCCCCCATCCTGCAAAATAAGTGATAAATATTATACATACACATATAATCCACTTAATTTTTAGAATTTTAAACTCGTGTGCTTAATAAGTATGCACAAGTAAGAAATTTTATGAAGAGGAAAAAAAAAGAACATACGACATATAAGTAAGAAATTTAAATTAAATGTAAGAAGTTTGAAAGGAAGGAAATGATTAAAATTTCTCATCATTGAGTTTACTTTGGTTGAAAATCAACAATGAAATAAAGTACTTCGTAAAGTCATAAATGAAGTGAGGAAAATTTTCAAAGACAATTTCATTGCCTCAAGATTCAACTTTTTACAAAAATGAAACAAGAATGATGATTTGTCCTCTTGTCAAGTATGGGGGGCACATGCAGTTTGCTTACAGGAGTCTAAACTGGCCAGTTCACTATGCTGTTTCCCTTCTTAGGGAATCGGCCTAGAATAATCAATCACATTCTCGTACGCAGTAACGCACGTTCTATTGCTCTTTAGGCCCTCCCTTTCTCTAAATTCTCCTCAACCAGTCACCTCGGTGAGCCTTTGGCTTCCTTCTACGCCACTTCCTAGCCATTAGAAGCAATAAAGAATATGCCTTGCTAGTTCCATCTATTCGAGCGAATTCCTTGATTCTTTTAGAAGTGAGAATGATGTCACTCTAAGGTCAATTGTTGACTCTTTTTTTGTGTAGCTAGTCTATTCCATAATTTCTTTCTATTTCTCCTATAGTGCCTTAGGAAAAGTATCTGAGCCGTAAGGAAGGGGGGGGCTCACTTGAGATGTGCGACTTGATTGATTACTAATGGATATAGGAAGCGGCCTTCATCCAAATGATGAACTTACCTTACGTGGGAGACAAGGGGTTCACAAGGGTCATCTATTTGCACACGAACCTTCTCAATCGGGATATTCCGTATGTTAGACAGGTTACACAAAGGATGTCGACTCTTTTCTTATGCAATTCCCACAGTTGGGTGAGCTGACCGAGAGAAAAGGAAATGCTTACCTGTCTATTACCCAACAAACTCAAACCTTTGCTTGCTGCGTGGGGAGTGAGACAAAGAATGGATTCTATCGGAAGGTCAAGACCTCCCTTGAAGGAGCTGACCTTATCAAGAAATCAGGAACTTCACTACAAAGACCTATACGACGGAAGAAAACCAAAAAGCATTCTAACATCACATGCACCAATACTTCTTTCTACAGGATCTCCTGCTCGAACAGATTTGAGATGCGAATGCGAGCTGTTTTGCAACTGATATGGATATGGGCTCAGAAGAAAGGATCGCACTATTGGCACACTTTAAATATCTCCACCAGCACATCACCAACCATCTAGTTGACTTTGTTGAATGTGCAACTCAGTTGTTTTCTTCGTCTTTGGGGGATGTAAGAACGAATCAATACAAGACACCTTCTTCCCCCCTTCCCTAATGTGATTATAATCAAGTTAGCTAGCCACAGGCTTTCAAGCCCTGATTGCCACTTCTCTCTATCACCAAAGTCTTACACAAACTCAAAACCCATAGCAAGAAATAAGAACCTATTCATTGGGAAGTGTCGGATGTAACCTGACGAGGCGGAAAGCAAGAAAACGACTGACTGGCCACCTAAAGGCTTGGTCCAATTGAGGCCCCTCTAGGAACTTCCCTTCAATGGGTTCCCTGGCGTGCAACAATTGCTAAAATATTCTTTCCTCATTAGACGAGAAGGTGCAAAGTCATTTCCCTTTCCAAATGAAAGACAAGCTGGGATGGCCAAAGCCCCCTTTATAGAGAAGGTCCCTTCAAGCATTATTAACTGGTGGGAGCGAATTGGAAGCATTGGGGGGATTAGACTTCACCTTATGACCCCCCAGGGAGATTAATAGGTTATTAACCTTACGCTTCTTAGCCTTGCATGTATCCTATTAGGGCACTTATGATCCCAAGATTCTGGCATTCCCAGAAGAGAAAGTAGCGAATGAGTCCGTTTTAGTA